ATCTTCTAGCCCAAGAATCAACTGAGTGCATCTGTACATCCAATGATTTATTCTCTCTCTCTAGATGAAGGTCTCTCAGGAATCTCAAAGTAACAAGTGCAAGCTGAAACTATCACTCCCTCTTCAAAACTGTTGCCTCTTTTATATTCCCTACTTAAGTACTAAGCCAGAAATCTAGAAATCATCCTTAATTACTCTGTCTCCTCACCCAATATATTCCACAATTTTTATATAAGACATAGATTCCCCCCACCCTCTCTTTTCAGGAAACGAAGGCTACAAGAGCCACAACCTCAGAATACGAAGATAAGCTGAGCCAAGAACAAATTTCTGGTGACTCCCAAACCCGTGCTCTTTCTCCTATGTGTTATGTAAAGGCTTAAAATACAGCAAAAAGGTTTTACTGGTATTTTACACACTGAGTAACAGGAAGAGTCCCAGAATTAGAATGGCAGGCTCAATGGTGAAGTAGAAGGTTGGAAGTGAAAGAAAGCAAAAATAGGCTGTGCCTATTTTTAAGAGAGGACAATCAATGGGATGCTGGGGAGAAAGAAAAAGCTCTATGTGTACTTAAAAATCTGTGTGCCAGTTGGTTATTTCAGTGAAATGACTTGTAGGTATCTGTCTCAGTTTTTCTAGGGGCTTCCCTTAGCTTCGTACATTGCTATTAAGATTGATAGCATACACAACGTCTTTCTCTATATACAGTGCACTCCTTATATATACATTAGATCACTGTCATATATTTGTTGCATACATATAAAAATTATTTGCACAAAGCATAGAAAATCCAATACAGACTTCTCATAAACACTGAATCCTCATAAAATCAGATGAGAGACATATAGATTTTCAATTTTCCTCCTTAATACAGGTTCACATCAATGTGTACGCACGACCACCTACTGCAAGCCATCATCTCTTGCCAGAACTGCTAGTCTTCCTGTATCCAATCCAGTCCCTCTCCAAATCATACTCCATAAGGCAACCATAGAGATTCTTCTGAAATATCAGTCAGTCCCCTGCTTAAAAGCATTAAATAACTTCTCATTACCCTTAAGATGAAGTCCAGCCTCTCCAATAAGGCTAACAAAGCCCCACATGAACTAGCCTATGTCTATTTGCCTTTCTAGAGTCGACTCTCATCATTTCTCTCTTCTTACTCACATTCTTTTAATTCTTTATTCGTGCCATGCTCTCTAGAGAGAGCTCTCTTTTTGCTCCTGGACCATCATACAGGTTGCTCCTCTGCCTGTAAAACATCACCCTCCTCTTCAAAGGGCTCACCCTTACTCTTCACTCAGATAACAGTTTAAAAGATTCTTTTTCTGAAAAACATTTCTGAGGCATCTGGCCCCATATCCAATTCTTTAAATACAGTATTAGCATAAAAAATTTAAAAGTCCTCCTCTATGTTTCCATGGTATCTTATATTTCTCCAATCATATCACTTATCACATCTATCTCACAAAGTATTGAATCTCCAGTTTCTGCCACACGACCCGGCACGAAGTACTTGTTAAATAAACAAATGATCTGGCAGAACGAGAAGCTGTATCTGTCTTAATTTATTCCTTTATTTTTCTCTCAAGAACGATCTGACCTTCAGGAATGGAGTTACATGCAAATAATGCTCCAGTAAAAAAGCCACTAATTTTTAAAACAAAGGACAAACAAAACTATGTAAAAACACACAAATATCATTTAGGATAACCAACATACTATATATTAAAGTGAAAAAATTTGGAAGAGACTTTTGAAACTATATAATACTTTTTTTTTTTTTTTTTTTTTTTTTGCAGTACGGGGGCCTCTCACTGTTGTGGCCTCTCCCGTTGCGGAGCACAGGCTCTGGACGCGCAGTCTCAGCGGCCATGGCTCATGGGCCCAGCCGCTCCGCAGCATGTGGGATCTTCCCGGACCGGGGCACGAACCCGTATCCCCTGCAACGGCAGGCGGACTCTCAACCACTGCGCCACCAGGGAAGCCCTATAATACTTAATGTTTTAAATTTATACTAAAATATGAGTATTATTTCATACTACTAATTTGCTATTATTATATGAACTGCTAATCACATATAACTGCTTACATTAATAACCAAGTTCTGTATTTTTTCATTAGGGTAAACAAAATACATTCTAAGACATGATCAAATGCCATGAGATTTATCTGGCTGTAACATATGAGAAATTACTCCAAGCTGTTTTATGTGACATCAAGTCATATTGGTTCTAAGAGAACCTTGAAACCCATTCACCTTTATAAATCATGTTAAATATGATAATTACTTAAAAAACCCTAGTAATAAATTATTTGACTTATCCTTCAAAAAAAGTATTTATTTTTGTTCTCATTGTTGCATTTCATAATACAATGTCTCAGATGGTAAGCAGTCATTTGCCCAGATCAAGAGGAAAAGTTGAATTTAAACAAAAATAACACTTTAGACAGTGAGTTTTCAGTTGCATTAAGAACAGAAATCAGGATCCGCACATGCTACATAGTCAACTCTTAGAGGATAGGTTTATCCCAGTACTCAAATATGTGGTTATCAATATAGCCAAAGTCCTAAAAAATGGTGTCATAACCCACAAGTTTTAATGAGACTTATTCTAGTTCCTTAATGCCCTGGTATTAGCATGATAGTACAGCAGACCCCATTTAATTATAAAACATACCATATACTTCCACAATGTGCAAATTCATTATGTACTTGTCTACAATAAATTCTGATAGTACTCTTTTTGCCCCCTAAATAACAAGTTTCCAAAGGCATATTTTCCCAATATAGGGTGGTACATTTTATTCTTCACACAATCTTCTCTACAACTATTCAGAAGAGCTTTTTCCATCTAGGAACGAATGTATCTTTGAAACCAGGGCAGTCTTTTTAGTTATTCACATTAAGTGTCACTTCAGCAGCCTCTATTTACCATCTCTGCTTCATGATATGTAATTATAGGCTCTGTACTTTTTTCAAATCATATTTTGATACAAAGACATCTGTTTCCAGTTTATACCTTCTTACCAAAAAGCAACTGCCCACTCAACATTGATGAAAGTTTTATCTCTCACTTGAGGAATATTTGCACTGGCTAAAAATAGTTTTATATTTGCGTTTCCTTGTTTTTATACAGACTACATCAATTCTCAGTCCTAGATCACCAGCAAATTGGATGTTCCACTCTTTCATTTAAGAGTCACTTATTAGGAGTGTTCCATAGGGAAGGTCCAAAAGACTCCACTTAGTAGATACAAGCTCATGATTTCATGACTGATTTGATTTTCTGAGTATCTATTGTTCTATCCTCTCTATCTTCTCACCAATTTTCTCTAAAATATGTCTAAAATAAACTCACCAATACAACAAACACAAGCTGGGAAGCTCTCTTGTTAAGATTGCTAGCTGGCCTTTTCCTGATAACATTACTTCAATGCCACATATCTTTATTGTAAGCAAAGGAAAAGAATCAAGCTGGTGTGATCAATTTCTCTGTGAGGAAGGGTCTCAAAAATGAGCTTATACACACATCTTTACAAAATTAGTTTGTCATTCTATGAGTGCCTAAAATCACATTAACTGCTTGAGCCCAGACCAATCTTAAACCAATATATCAGACTATTCCAACTGACATATAAAAAAACAGAAGCCCATATAGATCACTTCAGGCATCCAAAATTGAAAGCAGTACAAAGAAACACAACTGGGAATTCCCTAGCAGTCCAGTGGGTAGGACATGGCACTTTCACTGCGGTGGCCCAAGTTCAATCCTTGGTCGGGGAACTAAGAGCCTGCAAGCTGCGCGAGTGGCCAAGAAAAAAACAAAAATAAAAACTAGGAATTAGGAAAGTTATAACCATTAAATTGCTTCGGGAAATGCAACAAGTCACAGTTCCTTTTTTTACCCAAATCAAGAAAATGAGTTCCTTAAGTTAGGGATCTCTAATGACCAGGGTGAGAATACTGCCAATAGATTGAAATAAAAAAGGTACACAGGTCACCAGATTAATGATCTAATTTGTTCTTAGGTAAAATCTAACATGCACATATAATGGTGATTTTCATCGTCAGCCAACTGTCACTGTTAAGAAAACAAAATGCATGCACTATTATAAAGACAGCCAGTAGTTCAATTTGCTGGCGTTAAAGGTAAGTACAGTTGAGGTTGGATACTTGGGCTCTGACAGCTCTTACAGGTTAAAATAGTGAACCTAGACTTCTTGTAATAAGCAATAAAGAGTTATAAAAAAAAAGTTATGGGGCAGAGAAGTGACAATATATATTAGAAAGACATAGTAACTCAAAATGGAAAACCTGATCAATGAAGTTATACTTTAATTTTAAATAACTGATCATCCTAATCTTGTATCTTACCAGGACACTAAGAAGCTCAATTCTCTTGATGTTTAAAATGTACACGGCAGACTCTAGACACTAAACAATGCTCTTTTGCTCATTTAAAGTACAATCTTTATAAAACAGTAGGTGTAAAGGAAAAGGAGCTTTATTTACAAACTCAAAAAATTACTTATATTTGTTACTTTCAAATTTTACTTAAGAATTCTTCACTGAAAATGGTAAAAGGTAAACTTTGGGTATCACACTCATCAAGAAAAGGTAACGGACAGTTGTAAATCAAACTACTCAATTATTACTTACCAATAAGATTTCTCCATGGAAAGAAGCAGAATACCCATTACTTTTGCAAAAGACATTTAAAACGCAAGAAGGGTCTCAGAAATTAAAACATATGCACTCATTTTTAATTATCCTGGGGAAACTTTTTTTACATTGTACAACCACTTTACTAGAGGCAATCTTAGATAATTTACTGTACTGTTAACTCTAACCTTTTTAACTTATTACACCATTTACAAAAGCTTTAAGAAATTAAAAGGCCCGATTTACTGCATACTTTTAAAGCCACAGAAGTATTAATAAGAATTCTAGTTATTTCTTCTTTACGTCCTTGAAAACTTAAGCCAAACATACTTACTGTTGGTTTTTTTCATTTAGAGTATTCATTCCCTGGAGATCAGAAAGAGGTGTTCTGGGATTTTTCCGAGTTATACCTAGCATAGAGAAAGCAAAAACTTTCAATAAATGCTAAGATAAGCTAAACATGAAATAATTTTTCTAGGAACAAATGAAATTAATATACTTCAATAGTAAATATTTGCTAAACATATCAGAAATATCTAAATAATAATAATATGAACCAAGTCCCATGACTGTTACTTATAAATTTGACTTAGTCAACAATGAAACCAATTCTGGAATTTAATAATAAATTCTTTAATTTCTTCTCTCACTTAAATATTATCAGGAAATACAAGGGTAACTGGGCTGAATGTCTAGAAGTATACAAACTCATTTCTTATTTTAATATTCAAAAAATTCCTAATGATTCCTTTGCACCATTTTTCAGCAATAGGATATTGCTCCTATAAACTATAGATTTTAGAGATCAATTAATCTTACATATAAAGACACTAAGAATCAAAGATGACGAATTGCTTCCTCAAGAATTACCAGTATTTCTTAAACAAAAAATCTAGTTAAAAAATGGGCAGAAGACTTGAATAGACATTTTTCCAAAGGAGACACCCAGGTGGCTAACAGGCACATAAAAAGATGCTCAACATCACTAATCACTGGGGAAATGCAAATCAAAACCAAAATGAGATATCACCTCACACCAGTCAGAATGGCTATCATCAAGAAACACAAATAATGAATTCTGGCGAGGATGTGGAGAAAAGGGAGTGCTCATACACTATTGGTGGGAATATAAATTGGTACAGCCACTGTGGAAAACAGTACAGAGGTTTCTCAAAAAACTAAAAATGGAACTATCATATGATCCAGCAATTCCACTCCTGGGTACACATCTGGAAAAAATGAAAACACTAATTTGAAAAGATACATGCACTCCAATGTTCATAGCAGCCCTGTTTATAACAGCTAAGACATGGAAGCAACCCACATGCCCATCAGCCAACACTTGGCTTAAGAAGATGTGGTATATATATACAATGGCATATTACTCAGACATAAAAAAAAAAAAAAAAGAAATACTGCCATTTGCAGCAATGTGGAAGGACCTAGAGAATATTATGCGTAGTGAAGTAAGTCAGACAGAGAAAGACAAATACTTTATATGACTTATATGTGGAATCTAAAAAAAAAAACAAATGAATGTATATGCAAAACAGCAACAGACTCGGGCTTCCCTGGTGGTGCAGTGGTTGAGAGTCCGCCTGCCGATGCAGGGGACACGGGTTCGTGCCCCGGTCCGGGAAGATCCCACATGCCGCGGAGTGGCTGGGCCCATGAGCCATGTCCGCTGAGCCTGCGCGTCCAGAGCCTGTGCTCTGCAACAGGAGAGGCCACAACAGTGAGAGGCCTGCGTACCGCAAAAAAAAAAAAAAAAAAAAAAAAAAAAACTAGGAAAACAGCAACAGACTCACAGATACAGAAAACCAACATGTGGTTACCAAAGAGGAGAGGGAAGCAAGGAGGAACAAAATAGGGGTATGGGATTAACAGATAGACACTACTATATTTAAAATAGTAAAAGTATCTTTGAGATAACACTTGTATGTGGAAAATCCTAAGTAATTCACAAAAAAAATTAGGACTATTAAACAAGTTTAGCAAAATTACAAGATATAAGATCAATATTCAAAAATCAACTTAGCAATAAACAATTAGAAAATGAAATTAAGAAAACAATTCCATTAATAGCAGCAATAAAATAATATAAAAGGAATAAACTGAACAAAAAATATAAACTGTCTACTGAAAAACTACAAAGCATCATAAAAAGCAATTAAAGAAAACCTAAATAAATGGAAAGCCATCCACGCTCATGGACTGGAAAACTTAATATTGTTAAGATGGCAGTGTTCCCCAAATTCATCTACAGATCAATGCAATCTCTATTAAAATTCCAGCTGCCTTTTTTTTTTTTTTTACTGAAATGAATAAGCTGATCCTAAAATTAATATGGAAATGCAAAGGACCCAGAATAGCCATGTTGAAAAAAGAGAACATGGTTGGAAGACTCATACTTCCTGAATTAAAAACTTACTACAAAGACAAAGTAACTGAGACAGTATGGCACCAGCATAAAGATAGACAAATAGATCAACGGAAAGGAAGTGAGAGTACAGAAATACATTTACGATCAACTAAATTTTGACAAAGGTGCCAAGACAATTCAATGGGAAAAGAATAATCTCTTCAACAAAAACTGGGAAAACTATATGTTCACATGGAAAAGAATGAAGTTGGATCAAAGATCAAAATACAGGGCTTCCCTGGTGGCGCAGTGGTTGAGTCCGCCTGCCGATGCAGTGGGGACGCGGGTTCGCCCCGGTCCGGGAAGATCCCACATGCCGCGGAGCGGCTGGGCCCGTGAGCCATGGCCGCTGAGCCTGTGCGTTCGGAGCCTGTGCTCCGCAACAGGAGAGGCCGCATCAGTGAGAGGGCGGCCCGACGAACAAAAAAAAAAAAAAAAAAAAAAAAAAAAGATCAAAATACAAATGCCAAAAGTATAAAACTCTTAAAACATGGGAGTAAATATTCCTGACACTGGATTAGGCAATGGTTACTTAGAGATGAAACCAAAAGCACAAGCAACCAGAGAGAAAGACTGATAAACTAGACATAACCAAAATCTAATACTTTTGTGCTTCAAAGGACACTATATCAAGAAAGTGAAAAGACAACCCACAAAATGGTATCAACAGAAAATGGCCCATCAAATATCTGATAAGAAGCTTGAATCCAGAGTATAAAAAGAACTTTTGCAACTGAATAATACAAAAGATAACCCAATTTTAAAATGAACAGAGTATGAATAGATATTTTTCCAAAGACAACACACAAATGGCTAATAAGCACATAAAAAGATGCTCAACATCATTAGTCATCAGAGAAATGAAATCAAAACTACAGTGAGGGCTTCCCTGGTGGCGCAGTGGTTGAGAGTCCACCTGCCGATGCAGGGGATACGGGTCCGTGCCCCGGTCCGGGAAGATCCCACATGCCGTGGAGCGGCTGGGTCCGTGAGCCATGGCCGCTGAGCCTGCGCGTCCGGAGCCTGTGCTCCGCAACGGGAGAGGCCACAGCAGTGAGAGGCCCGCATACCGCAAAAAAAAATAAATAAAACTACAATGAGATTGCACTTCACACCCCCTAGCATGACTATAATAAAAAAGGAAGATAGTAAGTGTTGGCAAGGACATGTAAAAATTGGAAACTTGCATACACTGCTGAATGTGAAATGATACAGTCACTTTGCGAAAGTCTAGCAGTTCAACAAAAACTTAAACAGAGTTACCATATGACCCAGAAATTCCACTACTAAGTATATACCCAACAGAACTGAAGACACATCTATACCCACATAAAAACTGTTACTGGAAAACATATGTCTTGGGATCAACAAATTCAGTTAGAACTTTGAACAACTTTATTTTCTTACATATTTGAATGCATTGTTTTTGTTTCATTTATTCAGTTCCTAAGTCATGGACACCAAATATCCTTATGACAAATTATCATTTTCTATTCACCATATGATTCTTTTCTTCCGCATATTGAAATATAATCACTTCAAGTCTTTCCTTAATATCAGTAATGCAATTTTCAGATATGTTTCCTCTATTGAGATCATATAGGTGTTGATTTATGCCACTACTTGTTTTAGTAGTTCAAAATCTATTTCAACATCATTCTGATATTTCATAGTCTTAAATTTGTGCTACTGCTTTATTGGATTCATGTTCTTAAATTCTTCTTAAACTGTAAAGTGCTCACCAGGAATTTTCTTCTCGTTTTTGGTGTTGCCAACACAACAGGGTGTTTCTTTTATGCATGTTATTCCCCTTTGTGTAATGATTTTTTAAACATTAATTATTAACTATTTTAAAGGAATAATATACTGAACACTTGCAACTGACCACTGAGATTAGAAAATGAAGTCCTGTGCACCTTTCTTCTTGATCCCATTTCAACAGCATCAGATCCCAACATTGCCCACTTGTTGGAGTTAGCATAAAAGGACTTTAAAATTGCTATCATAATGTTCAATGACTTAAAGTATAAGACAGTCTTATGACCTAACAGAAAAATCTCAGGAGAGAAATGGAAACTGTAAAAAGAATCCAAATGGATATTCTGGAACTGAAAACTGAAATTTTCTGAAATGAAAATTTCATTCTATGGTTTTACAAGGAGACTTGAAACAGCATAATGAACTTGATATCAGATAAATAGAAATTTTCTGAAATGAAAAATTCATTCTATGGTTTTACAAGGCAACTTGAAACAGCATAATGAACTTGATATCAAATAAATAAAAATTATCCAATATGAAGAACAGGAAGAACAAAGAAGAAAACTCCACAGAATATGAGGAATCTGAGACAATATCAAATATTCTAAGAGCACGTAATTGGGGTCTCAGAAGAAAAAGAGAAATTGCAGCAGAAAAAGATTTCTGAAAAAATACTGACCAAAAATTTCCTAAATTTGATGAAAAATAATGAAGCACAGGTCCAAAAGGTATAGCTAATACCAAACAGCACAAATATAAATATAAATGATATCTAGGGACATCACAGTCAAACTGCTGAAAATGAAAACATAAAGAGAAAATCTTGAAGCAGCCAGATGAAAAAAGGTATATTAGATATGAAAGAATGACAACAGAATGACATCTGAGTTTAACATTGCAAATAATGTAGGACAAAAGAAAATGGAACATCTTTAAAGTGCCAAAAGTTTGATAGTTCCTAATGATGTTAAACATATGTCTACTTTATGACACAGTAAACTCCATCGTAACTTTTACACAAGGAATGAAAATTTATATACACAAAATGAACTGAACAAGAATGTTTATAGCAGGGTTCCTCACAATAGCTCAAGACAGTACAAACCTTATATCCATCAAGAAATAAATGATAAAAAAAAAGAAAGAAATGATAAACACAAAGTTGTATACACAATTGAATATACATATACAATGGAATACAACTCAGCAACAAATTACTGATATAGG